ATTTTTCCTTCATCCTTTCTCCTGACATCTACTATTTCCTCCAGTCTCACTGTAGAAACAGCTGTCACTGTCTGACATCACTTAATAGAATTGAGGAAGAAAATCAAGTTATTTGCCTCAGGCCACAGTGAGCTAAGAAGACAGGTTGGAAGATCAGTCAAAGAATCAAGAGGGAGATTACTTCTCCTAGAACTGCTCACCTGTTTTTTCTCTAAATTTATCAGTATCAAAGAAAGAGTCAGACAATCTTAATGAGATCATGTCCTTCAATCTAAGTTAAGAGACAGTAAAATCTGCCAAAAAGCTTCTAATCAGAAATGCTTTTTATCCACAAAGATTGTACCAACAGGCAGTTCATACACCAATAGAAGCCTTTTGACAGATTTTGGAAGAGAAAGGCACAAAAAGGAATCACACGGTGAGAATACACACTGAATAAGGCTCAAGACTTTGAGCCTGGGCAGCAATAACTTAGTGAGAAACTCTTACAAAGGCAAGTTCTGGCCTTTCAACCCAGTTTATGGGCATGGATGTTCAGGTGCTGGAGGAGCAAAAAATACTTGTCCAGATCATTCATGACAATATATACCCCTGACACTTTTTCTACTACCAACTGAAATCACTCAACTGATTATCACTAGCCCTGTTACTCAACAAACACATACCAAGCCTTGAAAAGTTTAATTCTAACTTAAAAATTGAGAATAACAAAAAGCAGGTGGGAGGTTCAAGCTTCCAAGTCATACTTGAGTCACATTAAAATACCAACACAGCTCTCAATAAACCGCTTTCTTATGACAGTGCAATGCTTCTCCAATGCATTACCTGACTCTCCAGCCCTTTTGAAGAATAAACATTCCTAAATAATCATACTGTTGTGGTCTGATGGCCCTCTCCTCACCTATCCTCTAAGAATCACCCTTGGCAACCCCTTCTGGTCCCTTCCAAGACAGCTCTTCCTCTTCTGTCCTTTTGCCTTCAGCCACACTCCAGGTTCCACAGTCTGTGCAGCCCTCAGAAGCTCTTCATCCATAGTTTCACCTACAATTCCTACTTTCCTGCAGCCCAAAGCATCACCATTGCTCCTAATTCATACAGTCAAACCCTACAGTGAATCAAGCACTTTTATCCCTCTTTCTCCCCCAGCAAGACCATTTCCCCAGACAAGTTTTCTAATTCATCACACCAACACCTCTGAGCATCCCCCTCAGTGAAGTGCTGAACTCCTGAACAGCTGATGTTGGGGCAAAACAAGAGAACCTGCTGTGTTAAATAAGGAGGCCTAAGGGACCAATCTGTGCAACCTCTGCCACAGACCTCGCAAAGATCAAACAGCAAAGTAGAATGCCAACATAGATTAGGAAAGTGCTTACCTATCACTTGGGATTAATCTGTTGCTGAAGTTGAGGGAGGCATCCTCTATTACATGCAGTACACCTACACACACAGTGAATGACTTTTCACACAACCCTTGCTCTCCTCCCTTATGCAGGGAACACACAGGCTTTAATTACTTTCTATGAGTTGGCTTTAAATTTCAGTATCAACAGTTCCATCAGTTTCCCAGGTATTTGTTCCTGCAAACTTCCCAGCCTGTTCTAAAGCTTAGGGGAAAAAAATTAATTACACTAAAATTAAGATTCTTTTAAATTATACTCCTACCTCTAAAACTAGTACATGCTTTCATGATTTTTCATTTCAAAACACAAAACTTAAAACCTTATCTCAGAACATCTACACTCCCAACATTACTGCAAAAGCAAAATATGTCAAAAACATTGAGATAGCAACTGATTGAAAGATTTCCCCTTCTCAAAGATTAAAAGCATTGAGAGTCACTTTTCATAAGCATTATTGCTTAATGAATAATGCAATCTGTCACATGATGATGTTCATTGAAAAACAAATGTGAATATGAATTATTCTTCATTAGCACAGATTACTTAAAAGCTCTGTGATAGAAACAGCCTATGAAGCAGAATGTAAAACTCTGGCTGCTTCTGTAGGCACTGCACTCTTTTCTTTGCTGGAAAGTGCCTAACATGAAGAGAACCTGCCTCCAATGGAGCTTTACCTATTACACAAACAAATCACTATAGGATGGTGTATTCCTTGTCAAGATTTGAAGCCTGCAACCACACTGTGCTATTTATCCAGCAATTCTGGCATTATGGGATGGCTCAGCTACATGTGCAGTGGGACCCTTTCAGTAAGTGATCCCGCTGGACACAGACAGGGCTCATTGGGATTGCTCAGCCCTTGTCTTCTGCCGAACACGGTCACTCCTCAACCTGGACTCCTGATCTGCTGAGGAACCCTGTGTTTGCTGACGGATCGGAGAGAGAACTCCGACACCCATGCGATCCTCTGCGGAGCAGCCACCGGTCTGCCGCAGCGCAGCCGGCCGCTCCTCCGAGCCGGCGCCGCGGGGCCGCGCAGGGCGAAGCGGCCGGCGGCCCCGGCCGGGCGGGCACAGCGGTCCTTTGTAAAACACCCGTCCTCAGGGTCACTTTCTCCTCACTGCAATTCACCACAAGTAACTTCACAAGGAAAGTCACACGGAAGTGATTATTTGGGGAATTCTGCTTTCATGCTTTTAATTCAATATCCTCTCTAAACAGAAATTCCTCAGATCTTTTCTTTGAAAACATTAAACACAGACTCTGACAATTCATCTTTCAAGCCCTACAGAAGGATTTTGCAAATATGTATGAAGACTGACAGATGAACAACAGGGAAGCCATTGTCCCAAAAGCTCTTACAGTACCTCAGGGATAAAAATAACTCTGCTCATTACAAACAAAATAATGTGAACACTGCCTGTAGTTTACCTCTTTCACAATTTATTTTTCCTTATCTGTTTTGATTTAAAGCCTTGGCATTTTTTGGGTTGGAAGGCATATGCCATAACCTGTGACTACCAGTGCAGCAAACGCACAAAGAAAAGTATTTGAAGAATTTCTTTATTTTTGAAACTGACTTTTAAAACAAAGACACTAGTTCTGGTCAAAACCAGTTTCAGTAAAAGGTGAATCAGTTTCAAAGTTTATGGAATTACTGCAGTCCTCTTTGAATGCATTTCCTATTTTTCCAAATAAAACTCCTGGATTAATTAAAACTAAAGCATATTGGAAAAGGAGTGGGCAACATGCATTGGATTCTTGACATTGCTATTTAATTCTGGACAAATCTGCCGAGGCATACTCATCAGTAAAGATGACAACACCATAAAAACAACCCCCAAGATAACAGCCTTAAGTGGACTTTCAAAACTGGGAAAATGATGACATTTTTTCTTTTTACTTAAGAAGAACCTGCAATAGGGTGCCGGTAGAATTAAATACAAAACCTTCAATACAGATATACTAAAGGTGAATACATGCAAATAGCAGAGACCTACAATAAAACGCAAACCTTTATTTGAATGAGGAGGGTGGCCAAGGGCACAGAACAGACTTGCAGACACCTGGAAAACACCCCACAGCCATGTCCATATGTGAGACCAGGAGCACTGAGACACACCACGAGCAGGTACAAGGACAGGAGCTCTGCCAACACCTGAAGTGGCCAGGATGCATCCAGTGGAGAACAACGCTTTGCATCCTCAACCCTTTACAGCAGGCCCAGCCTGGGCTGGGTAACAGCTCCTGGAACTCATCCAGAACCAGAGCCTGCACTGGGCATTCCAGGGCTGTCCATGCTGCTGGGCAGGAGGCAGTGCCCAGCTCCTGGCAGAGGTTCCCCTACAGCTCCTCTCAAGTCTACTGCAGGTCTAGGGACTCCATGAGCTGCAGCTTTTACGACAGAACCTGCAGTGTGCTGGAAATGTGTAAACTCCACACCTGCAACAGATGCCACTGAAGTGTTCAATTACTCAATTAATATTAACTAGAATGAAGATAATTAATTTTACTAGTAAGAAATAATTACAAGATTTTGGCCTCCTAAAGAGTAATCTATTTTTAAGTAAGCCTTTTGACTTCTGCTTTTCCTTTACATGAAAGCGTGGCTTTTCTTCTACAGGGAAGAAACCTGGAACAGACATTAGAAATACAAGCAGGATATAAAACAGAGAGCACAATAAACAGTTCTGACTCCAGAAATCTCGTGACATTTTTGTTCTTGTCAACAGGCTCTAAACTCACAGCTAAAGTGGAGTCAGTTCAAAACCGCATGCCCCTCAGTTCAACTGCACCTCCACTGGATTTTAGTGTGAACTTGTTATGTCATAGTAATGTCTGGATACATCCAATGAGTCTAAATTTGTTAAACAAATGTGGTTTTTCAGAAAATGTTGTGATATAATGACTCAGTTTTCAGCATTTCAACATTTTATTCATGTTACTTACACCCTACAGTACAGAAAATCAAGATGGACTCTTTGTTCTGACTTGTGCATGTCAGTACTTTCATGTTCTATAATCTTCTTTCTTCTAAGTTTACTTTTACCTGAACAAAGCCTAAGACTGGAGGATAACAGTGATAAAAGAAACAGATGTGCTTCCTTTAAGATTATATCAGTGGGTGGAGAGATCCACTACAGTCCTTAAAATGAAAGTGCTGCTCTTTCCAGCATGAAGATTCCCCTGCTGAGAGAGGCTCCTTACAACTGAGAGCCAGTGTAAACCAACAGAGCCATCAAAGACTGGACCCTGGCCTCCACCCAATCCGGCCAGCCCTCCCAAATCACTGCCACAACCCCACCATGCTCAGCACAGGAATTTGTGAGGCTTCACAGAGAACCAGCTTGAGAAAAAGATTTGGGTTTAAACCAAACTTCTTTTGTTTTTACTTGGGAGTGATTTTACCCCATACCAGTTCCTCAGTGCAATTCACTTTCTGGCTTCAAAATAATTTGTGCAGGTTCAATGCAAGGTGTAAGGGGAGATAACAAGTGGCCCAGACCCAGCAAAGGTGGCACCTCTCTCTACAGAAACACAGCTCAAGCTAATGAAACTGTACCTCTACTGAGCTCCAAATGTCCATCTGCTACATCATACCTGGAAATATCTGGATTCATATCATCAAATCCTTACAGGCCTCTACAAAAGGAACCTAAAAAAAAACCCAAAAAACATATAAAACAACAAAACAAAACAATCAAAACAAAACAAAAAACCACCAGAAAGTTAAGCCTAAATATGTGATAGATGCAGCCCCAAGCAATTTCTGGGCATACATACACAACTGCAGGTACCCTCTGGATCATATCACACCAAACACCATGCCTGTATTTCTCTCCTATTTCCTTCAGGAGTGAGTAGCAAACTTACAGAACTATCCCCTACTCATCTCAGACCTGAAAAAGTAGTGTAAAATAACATTCTAGCTGCATTTTAACCTCTTGCAGAGAAATTTGCTATGAATTAGGATTCAAAGATTCCCCGAGGGATCTTTCATTTACAACTGCTTCCAAAGTCTGGACAAATTATCATGACCTTGGCAGGTGGCACCCAGCTGCTACAGCTCAGCTGTGAGGTCCCTTGATCTGCTGCAAGCACTGGTCACATGTACTTGTTCTGTGCACAGTGCTCTCCAAAAAGAGAAGTCCCATGGAATTGCCTTGGAAGAAAATGTGACCAAGCTCAGGCATGCGCCCAGGTGGCTGGAGCCTTGTCACCTGTAGCTGTATGGACTAAACACTCCTTCACCATAATCACTTTTCACAAGCAGAATTAGCAGCTTTGCAATTTGAATATTGTGTATTGAGCCCACATAAGCCACTTCCTAGAATAATGCTAAAATAAGTGATCTACAGAGGCTTTCACTTCCTTCCCTGCCCTGTATTGTTCTCTGCCATAAACATGTCAGAAAAGAAAAATTTGGATAATTCTCTGAGCCTGAAAGCAATTTCCCCTCAAAAGCTCTGCTCAGAAGAGACTAGAGTATTATAAAAGCTAGAGCTAAAATAGAGACTAAAAATTTAGAAAAATAGTATCAATTTTCTTGTTATGTATCTCAAAGAACAGAAAGCAATTGGACTTTCCTGACACCTTTTTGCTTCTTGAGCCTTCTTGGACTCATGAATATGATCAAGGATTCTCATTAACTTCTGTCAGAAAAAATATGAATTGCAGGAAGGCCTAATATAGTTATTTTTGTGTTTATGGGACACTGCCAGGTTTATAGAAGATTGGCTGTTGTCAAGATGTTGACACTCCAGAGCTCATGTGCTCCTTCAGATAAGACATAATTTAAGTTCTGCATTCAAAAGGATGTTAGAAACTGCAAGTGGTGTTAAAAAACCAATGAAAATGTGCTCCATCAATCTGGTGACCTCAGGAAGTGAAGGAAAAAAGCTCTATCACGAGGAGAAGCTTTAAAAATAAGACTTCTTTCATTCTATTTTGACAAAAAGGCATATACCAGGAAACTGAACTTTGAAGCCTGTGAGGATGCCTGCACGAGTACACAACCGTGGGCCTTGGGAGTTCAGACAGGTTGGTGTCCCCAAACAGACTTGGGAAGCAAGAGCAGATAGCTGAGACATCCTCCAGCACCACTTGTCTCTCATTTGGTAATGCAGGGTCTCCCCAGACACTGTCCAACAACATGGGAAATGACACAACTCAGGTGAGTTTTTTATTTTGATTAGAGCTGAAATCCCTAAGCCCAACATGAAAGGTTAGAAGCATGAATCTAATCTTTGCCACATGTGAACAGAGGAGCTAAGTCTCTTGTAGTTACTGATGTGAGAGACAGCAGAATTAAACCCATTTCTGTGGATTTTGGTAGACTACAATGAAAGAAAAGGACAAAAATAATTTTTCATTGCAGGTGTTTACTGTCCTTCCTGTCTGGAAGCAATTGTCAGGCTGTGAAATCTCTACTGTATCTCCTTAACAACTCTGACATTACATGGGAATTAGATTAAGAAAATTAATATTATATGCAAAATTCAACAGATTTTAAGAGCTAATAAGCCTCAGCAGCTTTGATTCTCAGTAAAAAGCTCTTTTGGCTGAACATAAGATGCACTTTTCCATTTTGGCATTTTCTTTGCTGCTCTGAACACAAGTATTTCACGAAGTCTTATCTTTCAGTGTACAACCCCCAGGTAAAAAAAAAAAAAGCTTTGGCCTTTTTTTTAAAACAGAAATACAGAAAAAATTCCTCTGCATTTTCAAGTCTCATGGCCATCTTGATAATCTGAACTTGTAGATTCATCAGTCATCTGCTGAGTTTCACATCTCACCCCAGTTCTCACTGGTGGCTGAAGGAGAGGTAGGTTCCTTCTGAGGACAAATTTCACCACGTGCGTCCTCTCTCACACACCTGCCATCTGACTCTGACAAAACTTATCTCACAAAACTCCATATTACACTTTTGAAAGAAGGAATTACCTTTAACTGATGATAAACTGATATAGATAAAGATGCATTTTCCAATATGGTGAGCTAAACTTCAGCTGTCAGACTGCAAATTAACACTGGTCTGCTCCAGAAACACACACCTCATGCCCTGACACCTACCTTTACTCTTATCCCATTGTCATTACCTCCTAAAACCTACCAGTTGGTCTGGCTTGAAATAATTCCAGAAGTGGAGTTTGCTGCCAAGGATCTGAAGTTTTTGGCAACTCCAGTCTAAAATTAGGGTTGGTTTTTTGTCACTATCCTACTTGAATTTTGATCATTACACAAATCTTTCTAAAAACAATTCAAATCACAAACTAAATACCTCAGCCTCTTGACCAGCTTTGCCGTCCTTTTCTCTGGGAACAGTTTTCATTGCCAGCAAGAAAATCTTCCCCCAATTCCATCGTTTTTCATGCCACGGGGTAAAAGCGGCGCTCCCGTGCTGGCCGCGGGCTGAGCGGAGCCAGCGCCCCGCGGCCGCCCCGGCCCGGCCCCGCGGCCGCCCCGGCCCTCGCCCGCCGCCCGCTCACCTCCGGCCTCCCGCGCCGGGCAGCGCCGGCCCGGGCTCCGCCGCGCCCCGCGAGCGGCCCCTGCGCGCCCGGGCGGAGCCGCCGCCGGCGGGCCCGGCCCTGCCCCGCTCCCGGCTCTGCCCCGCTCTGCTCCGCTCCGCTCCCGGCCCTGCCCCGTTCCTGGCCCTGACCCGCTCCGCTCCCGGCCCTGCCCCGCTGCCGGCCCTGCCCCGCTCCCGGCCCCGGCCCTGCCCCGCTCCGCTCCCGGCCCTGCCCCGCTCCCGGCCCTGCCCCGCTCTACTCCGCTCCGCTCCCGGCTCTGACCCGCTCCGCTCCCGGCTCTGACCCGCTCCGCTCCCGGCCCTGACCCGCTCCGCTCCCGGCACTGACCCGCTCCGCTCCCGGCTCTGACCCGCTCCGCTCCGCTCCGCTCCCGGCTCTGACCCGCTCCGCTCCCGGCCCTGCCCCGCTCCGCTCCCGGCACTGACCCGCTCCGCTCCCG